ACAGTTGATGAATGAACTTCTTGGTGTTGAATTTGACTACCATACCTTACCACTTTCCACAAAGGCCTAAGCAAAACTGAAAACTCCTCTTTCTTTCTTCTGATATCTTTCCTGTATCATTATTTACAATATTACTTTATTTATAATAATTTAGTTTCCTTTCTTATAAATTATGACCTCTTTCTTGTAATCAATTGAATACAGGTAGGAAGAAGCCAATATAGATATGTAAATAACTTTATAACTACAGCAACAACAAAAAAGAAAAACAAAAGAAATTATACAACAATAATGAAGATAATGATGACAATAATAATAAAAACAATAATAACAATAATATTAATAATAATAATAATAGAATTATAATAACAGTAATAATGACAATAATAATAAAAAAATATATAATAATATTAATAATAATAATAATATAAAGTTATAATAATGATGATGATTATAAGAATATATAATAATAACAATAGTAATAACAATAATATTAACCAACTACTGTCAAGTTTATGTACTGTTGACTATAGTTTTCTTTTGTAAACTTTGCACAGATGTGACTCCACAAGTGCTCAGCCACAAAAGGAGTCAATCAGTTTCCTTGCATGAAAGGTGAAACGCTCTTCCGTGTTGATACATTTCTTGCATTGTCTGACGATGGAATCCAGGTGTATTTTGAAACTCATTTTCAATAAATCTAGTTCTTGCATTGTGGGTTTTTCTATGATAATATGCTTACATTTTCCCTTTGGAAAAGTTTTTGGAAAAGAATGTTTCTTCTAATACCGTTAACACCAAAGTTATTACTATTATTGACATTGTGATTATCATAATGTTACGAATATCATTCTTAAATTTTAAATAATCTCCCCAAGAATCAAGGAAAAAGGAAAAACAGTTCAGATAGGTATGACTAGTAACTGACTCCTTGGTGGTAAGCTTTCTGCATTGTGTAAAGAGAGTCAATAAACAAAAATAACACAGTGGGTATGTTATGTATTTTGGCCATCCCAGCAGTAGTGGATTAAGAATAATAACTAATAATAATAATATTGAGTAGTAGTAGTAACAATAATAATAATAATAATAATAATAGTATCAATAATAATAATAATGAAAATAATAATAATAATAATAATAATAACAGTAGGATAAATAAGAATAACAGCAATAACCTAACAACAAATATGACTATTATAAAAAAAATGAAATATTTTAATATGCTTTACTTTGTACTAAAATAAAATATATATATTAAAAAAAAAGGCTAATGTAAATTTCTGAGAGTTTTTTAATAATACTATTTGCAAATAAAAAATAATCATTTAATCTGTTTAGAGGTATTTCTATCTATAAGCATATACATATATAATAATAATAATAATATCAACAGTAATGTAAATAAGAACAACATTAATAATCTAACAAAATATATGATTACTATATAAAAATGCAATAATTTTAAATATTCTTTACTTCGTACTAAAATTTAAAAATACATTTCTAAAAGACTAATGTAAATTTCTGAATAATACTATTTTCAAATTAAAATAATTATTTAATCAGTTTAGATTACTGTAATGTAAGACCATCAAATTTAGTAAGAAAATATATTCATCAATATCAAATGAATACAAAAATAGCAAAGATTTCCCTTTAATAAAACAAATCATTCCCACAGTCTCAACCGAAGACAAAATATCTATATGCCATATTGGAAAAAGGCACTCCAAAAACAAGAATAAAATTCATTTCTTGACAAATTCTTCCATTTCTTCCTTTTTCATCCTATAAAACAGGAAGCCCTTCTGCTCAGTCATATCTGCTGCTCCCTTGCTTTTGTAGAACTCAATGCTTGGAAGATTCCAGTTGAGCACGGCAAAGTCACATCGAATCCCTTGCAGTGCCATGCCATCCTGAAATAAATATAATGCGAAAAAAAATTAATCAGTAATAATAATAATAATAATAATAATAATAATGATAATAATAATAATAATAATAATGATAATAATAATAATAATAATAATAATAATAATAATAAAATGATGAAAACAATATTTCTTCACTTCCTTTTGAAACTATTACAGAATAAAAGACATAACTAATTTCATGCATATAAGCTTATATAATTAGCAAACACATAACAGAAAGTATTGTAATTTTTGTTAAGAATAAAGCCAGTCCGCAAAAGCCTTTTATATTAATCAGTTAAAATATTCTAGATAAAATCAGGCAACTATAATATCTAATTTACTATCATAAATTTTGAAGTTTACTATTTCTTCTGAGACTTTACATATTGATCTAATAAAATTCAATGTCGGTTGAAGCATTTTTTTTATAATTTCAAGTATATTTAAAAGTTTGGCATTCAACTTTCCCAACAAAATTTTAGTTTTGCTATTTACTGCATATCTATGAACTCTTTGTGCTGGGATTGCATGATATACTAGCCATGTCCACTGTGATATTAGTTGACCAATGTTGTTTACAT